TTTTTTTTTTAGTTTTGTTTTTTTTATATATACCAAAAATATATGAAAGAATCCATATAAATAGGGATTTTTTCCAAACAAATGGGTATTTAGTTAAAACTTCTTTAATTATGGTACTTTTAGTATGTAATTAATGATCTTGTTTCTAAATTTATAAAAAGGTTATTATTTTTATAAAATGATAGATTACTCATGTATAAAAAAAAAAGACAAATAACACAATGCTATAATTTTGGAAACATGTGTGAAATTTGTGAAGCTATAATATATATATATTTTTTTTTTTCTAAATCCCTAATTTTAGACTACATTTAATGCTTGCTAATTTGTTGTTTAAAAAAATTCAAAATACTTCCAAAAATGGCATGCAATTAATATTGTTAAATTTTCTACTTACTATTTTTAAAAAATGGTAATTCTTTTTATATATATATAGATATAGATTACGGTTTTGACGCATCACCATATAAACTATTTTTTTTTACAAACCACCATATGAACTATACAGGTTTGTCAATGTACCCCCTAAACCAGATATAAAAGTGGTTTTGACTGAAAAGCTATTTGGTCACCATATGTGCCCCTAAATACTTTTACAAACCACCATATGAACTATCATGGGTTTGTCAATGTGCCCCCTAAACCACTTTTATATCTGGTTTAGGGGGCACATTGACAAACTCGTATAGTTTATATGGTGGTTTGTAGAAAAAAATAGTTTATATGGTAATGCGCCGAAACCGTGATAGTTCGGATGAGAAAAAGTATTTTACCCTATATTATATGACAAAATACTCTATATAAAATTTTAAAAATTTTAAAATTAATTATTTGATTCAACAATATCTGGTGATTCGACCGTTGAACGTGACCCGGTTACTCAAAGATCATCCCATGTCGGGCCGAGTTCAAAAACTATGGGTGCACTATCTAATCTTAGCATATTGTCTTCAATTCACACTTTGATGTCCCACCTAGCTTGGCATAATCCCCATCAAATGGAAAACATAACAAACCTTAATGCCCACCCCTACTGATTCCCCCACAAAGCTCCGCTCCGCCTCCGCCTTTCCCAGCTTATACAATCCGCCCCTTTCTTACTCTGGTCTCTCATTTTCCGGGAGCTTCAATTTTGCACCTTTCAGGCAAGCTCGTGCGACGTCATCGTTCGCCATGGCCTCTCCGATTTTAGTGAAAGTCAACGCCTCTTCCACCGTGGGTGAGTGCGTGTGTGTGTTTTAAAGAAATATTTTCGTGGTGTTGTTCCTCTTGAGTTCGCGTGAACTTATATATGTTTGAATTAACGAGATAGTATATCGGTAGTCACGAAGGATTGATGCAGTTCATAATGGAACTGTGGCGTTTTCCCGATTTATTTGAGTCCAGAGATATCATTATGTGAAATGATAAGCTATGTGTAAAAGAAAAAAGTTCAAAGTGAATTCACTAGAGAAGAATCTCTGTGTAAACAAATAAAAGCGAATTTTTGTAGAAAGCTGTTTTTGTTTGGTTTTCAGCGCATTACAACATCAAAATGTGCCAAGTTCAATTTCACAAAGCCGAAAAGCAATTTGTTTTTAAATAGGCTATTCCCATTGTTTGGATCCAGATTTGCATGGTTTTAACAAGTTTCGATTTGAAGTAGATGTTCTCTATAATGTGTATGTTGATCCTAGCTTCATGTTCATGTCTGTGTGTATATTTATCTATGCAGTCCATTAATTATGTGCTTGTTATGTACAAGGGGAGCTTAACAATGAATATGAAGCTTCATCTACTAAAAAGGTTGGAGCTGATGACTTGTTGATTGTTGGGCCAGGGGTCCTTGGACGCATCGTGGCTGAAAAATGGCGGGAGGTAATATTTTTCTAGTGAAAATATAAAAGCTCTTTCTAAACATTAATGCAAATATATGATCACGCAAGAGGCAATAGTATTGTACATCTATCACTATTCTAAATGCCATTGCCTGGGTTCTAGGATTCCCTTGACCACCTAGGTCTTTGTTTCGTTCCTTTTTGTTTCTATGTTAAATTGAATGTTGAACCCTATCTACGCCACTTCTAATCCTGCCGAGGTCCGGGCGAAGCAATTGGCCCCACACTCTTGCCCACCTGGATCCTACCCTTTCTATAGAGCATCGAGATCTATGAGTAGGGGTATGTTGGGTGGAAAATATGGTGATTAGAAATAAATTTTGGAAAAGTATATGTTACCGGCATTTTACTTGTCCTGCACTAGTGGATTGTGCCTAATTACGTTTTCAAGAATTTCCTTTTGTGTTTATACGACATGTATATAATATAGAGATACTGAACAATTTGAAATTTTCACCATATTTAGGAACATCCTGGATGTCAAATTTATGGGCAGACATTAACGACTGATCATCATGATGAGCTAATAAAGATGGGGATCAGTCCTTTTCTCAAGTGGGGAACCCAAGTAGCTTCCAAGTTTTCCCAAGTCATCTTCTTGCTCCTCCATATGGAACCGCCGATTATCCGGGTGAAGTCAGGTGTGCTAAGCAACATGCACAAGTGAAT